TTGTCTGTCATTATTATTATTATTATTATTATTATTATTATTATTATTATTATTATTATTATTATTATTATTATTATTATTATTATTATTATTATTATTATTATTATTATTATTAAATCATTATTATTATTACCACTATTACTACTATTACTATTACTATTACTATTACCCAGTTCTGCTTTTCCCAAAATTGTTTTCTCTTTTGTGTAAAATTCGAGATTCAAAATAAATCCAGTTGAAATAACAGCACCTCATCAGACTGATACAGGCCATTAGTCTCTACTTACATTAAATGACCAACATTACACTTATGCAAGGATACAACTTCTTCATTCCATTCACAGTATACGTGAATTCTTCTCAGCATTTCTTAAAAATTCTTCTGATAATGGACAACTCTCTTCATATCATTCAAATTATCATCGTTCCCTTTTTTCTATTTTCTGAAGTTAAAAGGAAAAAAAGCGCCTACCGCCTATTTTTGTGTGACATAAGTTCATCAGCATTTTGTTATTTTTAAAAACCAAATGATTCGTTATCGTTAAGAAATGTGAACATTACTGGAGGGAACAATTGACCTCAAAAGTGTCTCCGTAGATATACGCACATACAAAACCGTACATTCTTCATACAATTTATTTTAAAATTTAAATTTCAATATTTATCTGAAGCAAACCACATGCACATATCCTCCTAAAATAGCTACACCATTATCAATACATCACCACTTCTCCCACCTATCAGCATTAAGTTTTTTTTTTTTGCTGGTAGGTGCAATTCATGCAGTTTTTCTTCTCAATGCATATCTGCTATTGCAGGAAAAAAAAACAGCTAGTTCTCCAAACGAAATTTTATTAAGCCAATATATTTTAAAATATGCTAATGTATCCTATAAAGCGATAATTGAGCAGAAAGTCTGTATGTGTTCAAATGTAGGCGGCGCAAATATCTTTTGATATTGGGAAGAAGGAAAGAAGAGAGAGACAGAGAGAAGAAAATAGTAAGTTTCGCGGATTACGCTATTTCCTCTTCTATCAGTCATTTCAAACTATGCTTCCTGAATCTTCCACAGTTTAGATTAAAGATCATCACATTAACCTATCGGTGGAGAGAACTACTTCTTTTTGGGAGCGAACAAGAATTTCTTCCCGCACTTAATAATAATTTTCATTATTTGTTTTTCAAATAGCATTTGTAGATGTATAAGTTCGAGTAAAGAAGACGAAAAGTGAGCAAGAGGGGACAAGTAGGACGGAAACTCATCCAAAAAACCAACGTTTAACTTTTCGAAGGTACGATACAATTGAAGACCTACCAAATTATGGCTCACACACTCACACACTAATTTCATCTGTGAAGTTTATCAGAGCAACCATAGGATACTCTATTCAGTGGCTATGTCGTGAAAAAAAAAGAGTAAGAAGGTGAGGGATATTGTTTTTGTTGGTTATAGAAACAGCTAAGTTTTAAAGGAATGACTTACAGAGTACGGTATTGTTGTGTGTTCAAAACGTACAACAGTTTATCCTTTATTGTCGTCCGGATATCAAATACAGTAGAAATGAGTTCAAACTAGTTCCAATTACAGTAGAATGACGTCCTGATTAATACCAGTAGAACAATGGGAGAAATTTGTAAGGAGTAATTAGGGAAGTGGAAGGAAATAAATCAAGAGTGCGTTGTGTGAAAGTGAGTGTCGACTGATGGGTCTAACAATGAATGAATGTTAGAACTTCTTATGGTTTATATAAAGAATGTGTGAAGGGGAACAATCATTACCAATTGACATTATTCTCACAGCTACAAGAGAAATCTACACATTCTAGTTAATTTATGTTAAGAACAAATGGTTTCAGTCACAAAATCCTTTGTTCTGATTTCGGTCAGACAGAGGAATTCTAAAACAAAGAAATGCGATCCTTAACAGAAATCTAAAAATTCTAAAAATGTACCATTGGATATAAGCATGCTTATCAGATTAGATATCTCTACAATATGCCTATCAATGTACATAAGCTGAGTTGTCATCCAGTTGTTCAATAAGGACCAAAGATTACGAGTAGTTTGGTTACCAGCCGGCTGTCCTTTACCACAATATTACAGGAATTGAACAAATGATTCATCACCTGACCTACGTAGTGCAATTGAAAATTTAATTGTAATTTCTGTGCAATGAGTCACATATCGAAAAATGATCTAAACAAGACAATATTCAAGATACGATTTGTGATGCACATACTTTGATTGTTTTAACGAATTACAAACTTTTTCTCGGCTTTTCCGGCAGGCTATGCTATTGTCGGGAAAGTTCCGTTTCCATGTGTTAACAAGGGAAAGGTTTATTCAGTAAATATAGTAACTATTACAATGCAATAGTATTTGATAATGAAATGAGGTAAAACAGTGGGATCCGGTCCTTTTAAACGGACAATCAATCGTCAAGTTGAGCGAGACGAAGCAGGCGTTAATTTGATCCTCGACAAAGAAGATTTATTTTAGAATGCCAAGAATGCGTTTATTGGCGCTTTTATATTGCTCATGAGTTGGTTGGGTTTATGATAAGAGAATAGCTCCATTTAAGGTCTTTACAAAACCGATAATAATTTCACAGCTGCAAGAGAAATTTATATAAAAGATTAGATTTCTTGATACAGAGAGGAAATTGCGTAGAAATCATCTTACCAGATGTATTTAGCTGTTTGGACGTGCTACAATTTCCTTCGGTTTTTTCCGATAGCTACTGTGGAGCGGTCATTTAGTGACAGTGCTACGAAACCTCCCATCTTTAATCATCCTAATCGTGGCATATTGTCTCTGCACTATTTAATTGCTGATACTTCCACAAAATGAGGTGAGAGACTTCCTTCAAAGAGTCTTTTGTGAAGAAATTTATGTTTTTAAGCTATAAATAGCATGAATTTACTAAAAATAAATGTAGTAAAGCAATATAAAACATGCAAACCACAGATTTAAAAAAAAAACCAACACCAGTGACAATTTAAGGAGCTTTAATGGAAAACTAAACATTTCAGTTGTCCTAACACTGTTGTATAAACAATAGGGCATAGAAGATTCAATGATGTAGTATAATAGTCATGGTCAACTTTATACAGTTACACTCTCACTATAATGGTGAAAGCTATTTAGTGGGTGGAATAAATTAAAACCTAACAACTCCCTCAATTCTTCCATCGTTTCTTGCGCCTTTTCTTCGGCTCTTTGAGTACCAAACATTAGAATATCTCGAACTAACTGCGGCTCTTGAAGTAGACTTTCATATTTCTCTCGAAATGGCGCAATAAGGGTATCAATTTTTTCTGCCAAACATGATTTGAATTCTTTCGTATTCAAACTGGCGCATTCATCGATTACATTTTCGACAGTTAGACCAGTCGCTAAAGCATAGAGAATTACCTGCAATGCATAAGTTCAATAAAGAAAAAAAAAAAAGTGATCGACGTAGCATAAAATTTTGTCACTTCCAGCAAGGTAGCGGTGCAATGCAGTATGTGTTATCAGATGGCGGATAGACTCGTAAATCTCTGATATCGGTAGTCAGGCATCCTGAGAATTGGATCACTCTTAAAGCAGTTTTTTTGTTCTTCACAAGGCTTTCAGAACGAGTCTTATCCGAATACATTTTCAGAAGTGAGGGCAAAACTCACTAAATTACTGATTGCAGGACGCTTTTCCGGTTCATAAGTAATGTTGGATTGCGAATCACTCAAAGCTTTTGCACACTTTTCGGCAATTATTTGTTTTGTGTCGCTGATTAGAATACGAGATCGATCATTACCCACCGATTTACTCATTTTTCTTGTCGAGTTTTGTAAGCTCTTTAAACGTGCACATCTAGCGTTCACCTGAAATTTCACCTGTATTGCAGGACATCAAAAAACCTTTGTAAAGTTCTATCATGAATCTGTAAATGAAATAAAAATTGCGGTTTAAGATCTACTGCAATATTTGGGAAAAGAAATCAACACTGAATAATTTTCATAATTTCCGTGATGTGACGAATGTCTTCCTGACTCTTTTACCGAAATATAAAATAACTTCAGCTGTGAGCCTAATCATTCATCCTAAAGACAAAAGAATTAAATTCAACCTGAACTGGAATTGGAAAGAAGTCACAATGAAGAACAGCATTGCATTTGACAGCCAAATCTCTCATCAAAAGCAGATGTTGAGTCTGGTCTTCGCCAACTGGTACATGAGTTCCTTTATACAGTAATACATCAGCTGCTTGCAGAATAGGATATAATTGCAGATTCACAGGAATATCACCGTGTTTGAATCTGCAGTGAAACAAAATTCAAGCAAACAAATAGATGACTTTTTCAACAAAAAATCAACAAACGAAATTTCCTTTTTTTGGAAGATAACGTTTTTTTGGAACCCTAATTAGCAACAAGTTCAATTAATAGTTGTTATAGCTAGATAAGCCATATGTTACTAAATTCCATAACTACAATTAAAGAGACTATGAAATTTTCAAAAAAAAAGTGAATTTTTCAAAAAAATGTGTCCACATGCACAATTACATACCATAGAGTCTAATGAAAAATAGTACAAACATAAGATGCTAATTTTTTCTTCAGATGCAAGTTACAGTGTACTTTTTTGTACCTGCAACGAGAATTGGAGCAAGCCAAGCATGATCGGTTAGAATGAAAATTAAACTTATAGCTGTTATCCGTATATTGTGGCATTGAAAAAGACAAAAACGAACACAGCAGCTTTATCCTTATACTGTGGCATTCGAGTAAGTCTAGCAACTGTCTGCAAACTTCCCAGTATATACATCAAGTTAGCATGATCGGCCACTCTGCTCTGCTGGAACAAAATCGTCTTTTCCGGATCCAGTCCACAAGCTAATAGACTTGCAGCCATTTTTAAAATGTTATTTCTCATCTACAAATAAAATCCTTTACCGATATGAATAGTTTGAAGTTTATACGGTTTTATAGGCAAGCATAAGCGATTAAAGATGCCATAACTGCTACGGCAGTTCTAGCAATCCAGTGGGAAATATGAAACAGGATTCAAAAAAGGCAAATAACTAGCTAAATTTTAGAGAGAGGAGTACATGTAGTCCACTTCATTTATCAAAAATTTAAATATATCAAAGGAATATTCTTAAAGATTTCCTTGATTCACTACACTGCTCATGAAAATGTTAGATTTTACGTTATCTAAAAACTTAATAAAAGCAGTTTGCATGTAACCCTTTCAGCGAAAACCGGAAAGCATCAGTTAGCTTACTTCGAGAGGATCAATGAAGCCCATCGAAATCGCATGATAATCAGCAACAGAAAGATACATTCGTTTCGAGTGGCTATCCTGAAGAAAGTGTGCTATTTGCGTGCATTTTATGAATTTACTCATAAGGGCAGTGCTTTTGTGACATTCTAAACACTATAAACTAATAACCTCTGTAGAAGTTATGTAATCGACCTAACCAGCCCAAGCCAATATAAGGGAATAAATCACAAATGAACTGGCCGAGTTTGTATTAAAAAATATTAGTGGAAGCAGTAAAAACAAACATTTTGTAAATTGATCCAGTGCTGGATGAAGCCAAAATAATTACCCAGATGTGGAACTCCAGTTGGCTGGATACCAGCGACGTAGATTACTGGGTAATATTTATTTTCTAATTTTGATTTAACCAATGATGAAAATCGAAAAATTCCTTTTCCAAATACCCATTTTGCATTTCCGCACAATAATTTTCTTAAAATCACAGCGGAAACATTCATAATTACTATCTGAAAAAGATTAATAGGAAGTAGACTAAAAGAGGAGAATTTTTTGGGAACAATACTGATAAAAACCAGTTTCTTCATCCTTTTTAAAAGTGAAATCTAATCGTGAGCATATGATGCATAGAAAATAAGTAATTTTTCCCACAATAAACAAAAAAATTCAAAAATTAAAAAATGTCACACCAATTATAAATTCAATAGCGGAACTACTCGACTTTGATGAAATTCTTCTCGACAGTGTGGACAAAATGTTAACACCCTATCAGTGATAGCAAATTGTATATGCTTTGAAATGCAATTCCAACAGAACAAATGTCCGCAAGGAATACAAATAGGTGGCTTATTGTACTTCCAACAAAGTGAACACCGGAATGAATTGTATGCAAGCTATAAAAACAATCGTTAAAACAAGTGACAAGTTAACAACAAAACCTGCCTAACAACAAACCTTATGATATCAAGTGAAACTACTTAATCATGAAATGTATAATAAATGCACGCCAAATATGGTTTTTTATAGTCCTACTTCTTAGAAATCGATAATTTTCGATGACTGCCGTTAAGATGATTACTGAATTTCAGCATTGGTTTCTTTTTTCTTGGAGAAGTCGAATTACAATAGAATTTAGGAAATAAATGAAATTATAATATGATTCATCTCTTCACCATTACTATATTATTTAATTAATAATTAATAAATTATAAAATATTTAGGAAATTATAACAAATTTGGTCAATGAACGAAATCAAAATATGACAGTAACTTCAAAGCTAAAAAATGTCGTACAAGCATTTGTAGTAAACATGGATGGTTACATTTATGGAAATAGCGATTTTCGACGAGAAACAGGAAGTTTTCCAGCCGGATTTTAATTTTCTTTCACGAAAAATAACAAATATCCCGATTTTTTAATCAAATTATTAAAAATAAATTTAGCAAAATTTATTATGTGTAGATAAAAATTGAATACTACC